ACCTAACAGATCTGGTGCTGCAAAGTTTCCAGCCCACTGGTCTTCATCTGGGGTGGAAGGTATATTCTGAATGTGTATGTTGGCATTTGTGTACATGTAAATTTCCTTACATTATTAGCAGAACGAAGATGTCAGCTCACTGATAGAGCTGTGTTCGAACAGCTGTGAATCATGAATATTAACAGGTAAACATCTATGTAAATTTTAATTAACAGAAGTGAGATATTATAGGGACTGAAAGAACAAATTAAGAATCAAACATGGAAATATTTCAGATGTTACATAAACTAGGATACAATACAAATTCATAACTTAAAGGGGCCGGATAAGAAGAAAAACACCTCCAGGCCTTTAGAAAGAGAAGTATCTCACAAGTTATATGTCTTATCTCTGCTTTAATATAGAAGCATAATATTTACCTTCAACAATTCTAACATCCTTTAAATGTTTATGACTAAAAAAATTTAGCGTATTTCACACCATTAAACATAGACCAGGAAAACTGTTGTCACTAAAACGTGTTGCTATGCAACCTTACCGTTGTCCTTAATAGCGTAAATAATTCAGGGCTCTGACAGACTAAATAACTACTAACCATTGTCGGGATGCAAAAAAGCTATAATTGCTAAATAAAAGATTACATCATTATAATAATCCGAGACAGGCATACAAATAATTTACGGTGGAAAATAATTTCATATTAATCCTGAGAAGACTGAATTTGGTGAAATATTTATGTAAACATGGGGAGATACTTTTGGGCGGAATTTTTATATTTATTATTTGAGGCCTGCAGGACGGACATGCAGTGTAACGTGAAATAAATGCATCTCACGCAGCCCTACGAAATTCTTCTGAATAATATTCAAGAATTCAGTCCGTACCGCGAAGAAAACACAACACTTCACCAATACAACGATCAAATGGTTAACCCTTTGAAGTCGAAGCTCATATAAATAATATTTAAAAAATCAGAACGTACCGCAAAGAAAACACAACACTTCACCATTTCAAAGATCAACTGGTTAACGCTGTTTAAGGAAATGATCGCTGTTTATTCTGAGGATCTTACGAAACAAATCAATACACTCTGTGGGCAAAATGCAGATAAAGTGAATGTTAAAGCATGTGGTACATATAATTACCATTCTGTCTTGGAGAGTTAAAAGCTTTCAAACCTTACCCGGAGTAATGTTCCCATTAAAAATGTATGCTTGATGTCAAATACATAATCGGTAAGAATTTCAGTTGGTAGTCACACGCAATTGAGAGCAAACCTCATCTATTTGCTAATTTTATTAATTTCCTTTTGAACAAGAAAGATCTCCCAAAACCACTGTCTCAACTTCTTACTGAAAAGAATCGAATGTTTTGAGACAAATAAAAAATTCACCCCAAGGCAATAAAGAATTTCTGAGATTTTTATATTCGATATAAATCGACTCATCTTTTAGTTTCCCTCCGAGCACATTTTTTGTAAAACAAGAAAGTATGTAGCACAGGGGGGGGGATAAGGCCGTGTCCGGATATGCTTTAACGTAATGTGGAACCAACACACCCCTCATTACTTCGTCTTTTGAAAATTTAGGCCTTTAAACTACGCCTCGGGGACGTGACAGGGATTCTGACACAAGTTTCAGTGGTGAAACACGAAAATGGAAACTGTTAACTCACGTAAAAAACAGCAGTGCGCAAATCTTCGTTTGGACACGATATAAAACACTGCACGCAATCATAATATTAAAAAAAATGAACCCAATAAGGCAATCAGAATATTTGAGAGAGCACAAAATTAATCTGCTTGGCAGCGTGCCTTCTTAGCACCCTGGGATTTATTTCAGTACCAAAACTTTTAAAGCATTTCTTATTTCCCCAAATTTCGCCAAATAAAGCAATAACATAAAACTACTGCGCGGAGATCCCAGATGGATTAAACTGGCTCAGAATGCTTAAGTGTAATTTCTTGAATATTACTTATTTAATGTCCAATTACCAAGTTCTGTTGCGAATGTTAACAACTCGACTATTTAAAGACGCACTTTTCCCAGACACACCCCAAGATCGCCAGATTCCTTCCCAGACATGGCTGTCGCTCCGCTGGACCACGAGATGCTGTACCGAGGCAAGGCGATCAAGAATTATTGCGAAACGAGGCGAGATTAGTTACAGCTCACCCCTAGAAGAGCCACAAGGCTTCAAATACCGACCAATCACAGGCCGTAACAGCCGTGGTCAGTATAAGCTCTTCCACATGCAAACTGCGAGCGGGCAGTGTGCTCAAAACTCTCGAAATAAATTATTATTCCTTATTGTAAAGTGACTTAAATATCAGATTTTTTAACTAGGGAAATATTACGTCTAGATACTGTAACTAGTTCTTATCTGCAGAACTCATAGACTTGCTGTATAGATCTACCTAAAATTTCCTTAAGATTCACTTTAATATTATCCCCCCTCTTCAACTACGTCTAGTTAGTTCCCTCTCTTCAAGTTTTAAAACAAAAATCTGAAACATATCTCTGAATTCCAATATGCGCGCTGCATGTCTCACCCATCTCATTATTATCGTAATATTTTATTATGAGCACAAATTGTGAAATTCTTCGAGTGATTTTCTTAATTTTCGTGTTTCTTCTTGTCAAATAAATGAGATACTCCATGAAGTGTGAAGGATGATGCGATGGTCACGTATTTCCTCCAGCTTAAAGGGGATTCCCCTCTTGAAAAAGGCAAATTTCTGTTACAGCAGCATTACTGCGGCAATCGAGGGCTTCGAAGAAGCCCTTACCTTCCTGCAAGCCATGTTTTGCTTCCTTTCATCAAGAAAGTTTTATCTTCAATCAGATTATTTGCCTCGCAGCATCCAGTAGCTGCAAACAGACTACCGTGCAGACATTAACTTATAATACATTATTCTCAGCATTAAAATATATTTAAACTCCTCGTAGTAACGAAATCTAACTTCATTCATTTCATATTCAAACTTTCTCTTATGGCGAACGCTAAAAATGATCTACAAATCTCGCTCTACCTCAATGACCCAGACAGAAAATAAAGACACAAATACCCACGATTTACATACATAAAGACATGCATACAATGGACACACAGAATCCGCTACCTAATTCATGAGCTTACATTTAACATCTGTGCAAGTCAATAGCGCAGAAATTTGATCAGTCTGACCCAGTTCTGGTCAGTCGACTGTAGGAGGACACAGTCCTTTGAAAATGTGGCAAAGTCCAAATATTTGGGAATGACGGTGACAAATCCAAATCTATTTCAGGAGGCAAACTAGTTAGCGAAAATCTTGTCCTCTCGTCTGCTATCAAAAAATACAGAACACTAAAATTTTACCTTTTGCTTTGTATGGGTTTGAAACTTGGTCTCACAAGTTGGGGGGAATATTTTGACCTAAGAGCAATGAAGTGACAGAATACTGGAGAAAACAGCGTAAGAGCTCCATAATTTCTGTTCGTTATTGTCACTACGATCGGATTAAGGAGGATAAGCCCTCATGGTCATCAGAAATGCACACAAAATTTTGGTTGGGAAACTTGAAATGTTAAAGTGGATCTTAGGGAAATAGAGTGGCAAGGCGTGGATTGGATTCATCTGGCTCCATAAAAGAAGGGGAATTTGTTGACTACCTGAGAAAAAGCTCGTAAATTATCGAGAAGGACTCCGCTACCATGAAGTTAGTTAATTATTTATGTAAACAAAGAGACAAAGGAACACATCAGATACTGTGATAATTCCATAACGAAGTTAATTACTACAAAGGCAAGGAAATTTACAGTAAAAAGATTATCTGTAGGAAAAACTTGAGGAATAATTATTAATTAGACCCACGGAAAAACAGTTTAAAACCACTCGTTTGATAGGTAACTTGAAAGAAATCTGAGTGAGGAATCATGTTATGTTCAACAGAGCAATTAGCACCAGGATAAGAGTCCACACACACACACACACAGAGAATAAACACTTTGTTTTGAAATACCGTCGGAAAATTGGTGTCAGGTGGCACAGAAACACGTCTAACAGCACGCCTATTACATTAATAGACAGAGTAACGTAAATAAGTCAGTTAGTTACGTACACGGCTGTTTCAAAAGTCTTCTCTCACTTACGCAATCATCGGATGAGTGTTACTGGTGTTTTTAAGAATGCACTTTTTGTTGTCTCGTCACGCAGTGGCTATCAGCTAACCTGCCTGTCCACATTTTTCATCTATGAAACTTATTGAAAGAATTTAGACTAAATTTACTGCCGGGAAGCCAACACAAAAATTTGTTGATCAAATTCAATTAGATTCAGTGCAAGTCTTTCTTTACTTTAAATCAAAGTTATGGATTTTCTCCAAGCATCTGGTATAGCCACTCGTTGAGAACTATAAATCTTAATACTCCTAACGTCTAAAGTGGGCGACCACTCAAATTCGTAGGCAAATATAAGCGCCCTGTAACAATTTACTTCATCTCGGAGCGGGACTTTGTGCCCTAATCATTTTCACGAGAAAATTTGAAGTAGATATAACTTGTAGGAAGATACGAACGTTTCGGAGGAATATACCGTCTCCATCTTCAGGTCGCTTTCGGATATCCTTCTCGTATTATCTCTAGTTTCTTTTGCGTTATTATTAATAATAAATAACTGAATTTATTATTATAATTATTATTACTATTATTAGTGACCTTAGTTGGGTCTTGTCAAACAATTTAGTAAATTAACTGAACTGAATTGAATTAGCTGAACAAATTATATTAAATGAGATAAAGTAAGCTATTTTACATTAGGAGGCGACTGATATTGAAATTTCATTATAAAGTATACACAGTCCTATATTTTTTGTTTGTTTGTTGAAATATTTTATGTAGTTTTTTCTGTTAGTCCGACTTTTTGAACTCCTTATCGATGGTCGCTACTCGTCTTTTGAATCCATGATCTCCTGTGCTGCATAAACCGCTCCGATACATCCCAGCTCTTACCTCATCATAATACACATTTTTATTTTATTAAATCCGAGTGTACCGTCATCACGAGGTATCGCCAGGAGCAACACGGAGAGATTAAAATCAGAAGATAGCAGAGGCAAAACATCTACCGATGAAATTATAAAGGGACTCAGACAACTTTTCCCTCTCTCTCTACGTCTTTTCGATATGTTACAAAAGAGTTTATAAAAAGTACGTAAAGACAGTTGTTTCAAAGCCTAGCATCGAGGAGACGAGCAGAGATGGGCGGGACATGTCGTAATTTTTACGGGACTATTTCCAGTTTAGCCCACGAAATGGCTCCTGGGCATTTTGCAGTAGCTATGAACTGGGCGGAGGAAAATATCACCTCCCCACCCCACCCCCGCGTCCACACATCTCTACATCCCGTCACTCCGTTATCTTATAATAATTATTACTCATAACAATACCCTACTTCACGACGCACCTATAAAAATGAAGATAAATCCATCGGCCTAGCTTCAAATTCCCCGCTCCTTAAACTTTATAGATAAATGAACACCGTCGTTTATAATGTCAGGATTTTATTTAAAAATAAAAATAAACAATTAATTATAAATGGATGTTTCATGTGTCACTTTCATAATATACGTGACATCAGTATCGTACATTTTAGTTCTAAAACCCGATAGTAAGATGTAACTTTGAAGAACCAGGCGTTGATGGAAGGATAATATTAAAACGGGTCTTAAAGGAATAAGGTGTGAATACGTAGATTATATTCACGTGGCTGAGGACAGGAAAAACTTTTGAAATCTGATGAACACTTCAATAAAAAAATTCGGGTTACATGAAAGACAGAAATTTTGTTATATGAGCGACTATCAGCTTGTCAAGAACGACTCGCCTAACCAAAATTAATATATATAGGATTTAATATTAGGAAATGGGATAAAGAATGCCCAGCCACTTAATTTCCCCTGCTTTGGTCATCGTATTAATACAGCTACGTTCATAAATCACGGAAATCCTCTCAGATACTTCAGTTAGTGCGTGGTATGTAGACAGACTTCTCGTCTTTTAAATTATTCCGAGGCCGTCATAAAACACACGGCAATGGCAGTGTACGGCTAATAAAATAAATTTCAGGCGGTGGACAAGTGTTTTAGAACTGGGGAACAGTTTGTCCGTCGCGATAGGCCAAAGACGACGCAGTGCAGACGATGATACAATCTCAGGATCAACGGGCAGAGGCCGCCTCTGCTCGCAACAAAGGTCCCGCGCTGGGCCCTCACTATTCTGCACCGATGCACCCTTGAACACTTCAGCTTACGAAACGACGCGTTATGCGTCCAGCAACGCACATCTGGGCTCAGCAGCACGTGATACAATTTTACAACATACTTTCAACGTATTACAAATTAATTTCATTGCTCCAGAGGTACAGATCGTCTTAAACCTCCGCCAGGTTCATCACGCTAAGGCAGTGGTATTCAACCTGGGGTACGCGTACCCCCGGGAGTACGCGAAGACATCTTAGGGCGGTACGTGAAATTTAAAAAAAAATATATATTATTTTATGATAAACACTGAATAATCAGGAATGTAATTTATTTAATTTATTTTAGATGTAGATTATATACTATGTATAACTATGAATTATACACCAACAACTTTGGGGGTACAAAGTTGAAGAGAAATTATATCTGGGGGTACGCGAACAAAAAAGGTTGAATACCATTGATCTACGGAATACACTCTCTCAGTTTCTATGTCGCTTAAGAATGTAGGGAGCTTAAACTCTACGACACCATACATCTCCACGATGTAACAGACGCAATCAACAAATTAGTGGCGTTAGAAAACATTATTTTAAAAAAAGTACAACAACCCCACAGTTATTGTAACCTAACCTAAAAACCACTCACAAAAATGACAAAAGAAACATTTCAGTAGCAAGTTAGGTTACAGCAGACATAAATCCCCCCCCCCCACAAAAAATAACCTTTCTATTCTGAAACAAAGAAAAGACGATCCACAGACGCACAGGTAAATTCACTGGCCAAGATAACCCACGAGGTCTGCATATGCCAACTACGAATACTTGTAGACCATGTGATAACTAGCAAAGAAACGAGGTCTTTGAGCAGCCAAAGACACCGTGCCACTGAAGAATAGCTAAGCATCTTTAAACAGCAGGTCTTCAATATTATTGTCTCTGGCAATGGCCGTAGCCATATTGGAATTCAATTTTTGTTATTACTAAAAGAAGTCTCAGTGGCGTCAGATTCATAAATGAAACTTCACTGCGTTCTATTATTTGCCAGATATTACCGAGTTGATAAAAAGGAAGAGTGAGATGATAGGGTGGGCATGTAGCAGGAAAGATACGAACAAAAGTTTGGTCTATATACCTGAAATGACAAGAGACCGGTTGGGGGATCTAGGCTCAGATTAGATGATAATATTAAAATAGATCATAAGTAAGAAACAGGTGGTTGACTGGATTCATCTGGTTCTGGAGAGGGAGCAGCTGTTTACTCTTGTGAACGCCGTGATGAAGTTCTGGGTTTTAACGCAGCTAATGAATGGTCAGCAAAGACTCGACATCTTATCTGAAAATTCTGGCACATTATAAAAGCAAAATTGATGGACTAATTTTAAACGTAGGCCTAATATTATACACAACACCCTGTGTTAAATAAATTAACAATAAATAATATAGTAAGATGACACAATGTCTCAGTGCTGACGAGAAAGGGCCCATACCTCGGTGTACGTTGGCATTAGAGTCGACAAACAGGAAAGTTAGTACGTAATTATCGACCATTTTTAGAAAGAAAGGTACTCATGAATTAAGGGCACAGGACGGCATTCAAAAAGGCAGGCCACGTTTGGCTCCAGTAAACGATGTAACATTACTGATTATTACA